CAGTCAGTTATTTGGTTAGTTAGTTAGTTAGTTGGTTAGTCAGTCGGATATTTGGTTAGTTAGTTAGTTAGTTAGTTAGTTAGTTAGTTAGTTAGTTAGTTAGTTAGTTAGTTAGTTAGTTAGTTAGTTAGTTAGTTAGTTAGTTAGTTGGTTAGTTAGTCCCTCATGTCTGGCCTGTGTTGCAGAGGCCGGCCTGCTGCATAAAGCCGTGCTGCTGCAGAGTGGACCGCACATCATCGAGGAAATCACAGTGTTTGAGCAGGTTCAGCCGGTGAAGAGCCTGAAGCTCTCCATCCCCAAGGTGAGCCCACAAATCCTAACAGCATGGGTGAAAAACAGAGGCGAATACATAGAAATGAATATTTTACATCATCATTTTAATCCATTATTCTGGAAATATCAGTGTGAATAACTGAACTGAACATAAACATGTGAGAAGGTGACCGTGTTCTGATCTCCAGACAGAAGGAACTTGGCCTCCAGACGGGTTCAGGCTTCTCAGATGTTCATGAACAGGCTTTATTATCCCTGAATGGGACAAAAATAACTTTGGTAATTGAACACAATCTGGAACAACCAGAAACAAAATGATAGCCATCCATTAAAATACAGAAATAAAATCAAATATTTTTCTAAATATGACCTCTTCTGCTTCTGGATTAGAAACCTTTTCACTGTCCATGTGAGCTGAGAAGTCTGCTCACCTTGTGTGTGTCTGTGTGTGTGTGTTTGTGTGTGTCTGTGTGTATGTGTGTGTGTCTCAGTGTGTTTCTCTGTGTGTGTGTGTACCGTAATATTCTTTGCAAAGCACCAGTCAATTTAAACAGACGATTCTGGTCCCATGAAAAACAGTGAAAACATTTTCATGAATTTAAATATTTTTTGGTTAAACTTGTTTGGACTTATTGTACAAACCTATTTAACATCCAGTTAATAGTTACTGATTAACTAGTTGCGTTCGGTTCATGCGCAGCTCCTTTTTCTCAGTGGGCGTTGGTCACTTGCCCACCTTAAATATGATAAGTTTAATACTCAGGACCAGACTCCAGCTGTTCCTGTCCTCGGCTTTTGTTCCTCTGACCCCTGACCCCTGACCCCTGACCCCTGACCTCTGACCCCATTCCTCTGACCTCTGACCCCTGACCCCAGACCTCAGACCTCAGACCCCTGACCTCTGACCTCTGACCCCTGACCTCTGACCCCTGACCCCATTCCTCTGACCCCTGACCTCTGACCCCTGACCCCATTCCTCTGACCCCTGACCTCTGACCCCTGACCCCATTCCTCTGACCCCTGACCTCTGACCCCTGACCCCATTCCTCTGACCCCTGACCTCTGACCTCTGACCCCTGACCTCTGACCCCATTCCTCTGACCCCATTCCTCTGACCCCTTGACCCCTGACCTCTGACCCCTGACCCCATTCCTCTGACCCCTGACCCCTGACCCCATTCCCCTGACCTCTGACCCCTGACCCCTGACCTCTGACCCCTGACCTCCGTGTGTCCCGAGCAGGCCGTGATCTACGTGGGCGGGTCTGACGGCGTGCTGAGGCTGCCCACCGCCAACTGCTCCTTCTACTGGAGCTGCGCGCAGTGCGTTCTGGCCCGGGACCCCCAGTGTGGCTGGGACCCCCAGAGCCGGGGCTGCGTGGGCGTCTCCGTGGCAACGGCCCCCCTGTGAGTCCCTCACACTGGGTCTGGGCACACGTCCCGGAGCTGACGGTGTAATGTACGGTTCTTAGGACCCAAAAACACCCGGAGGCAAACGGTCAGTTAACGGGTTTATGGACAGACAGGAAAACTCCTGTAGGCGTGGTCAGTCAGGCGAGGTCGGCAACGTGTGGTCAGTCCAGCAATAATCCGTAGGGAATCCGAAACGAGGTCCAGAACGAGCAGGGGTCGAGGCCGGGGAATCAGTCCAGAGGGATCAGACGGGAGCGCGGAGTCAGGCAGGCTCGGAAACAGGGTCAATCAGGTCGTAACAGGCAGTCAGGCAGGATAACAATGCTGGAAGTACTCACACGAAAAGGTTTAGAGACGTTCTGGCACAGGTGAGTGAGTGAGTGGGGTTTTTGTACTGATCATGACAGGTGCGACCAATGTCGCTGATTGCAGGCAGAAAGAGCCGGTGGGCGGAGCCAGAACGTCACAGACGGGGGTCTCGTGGTGGTTTTAATGATGCAGAACTGATAGTTTCAGTTTTTTCTCCAATATATTTTGTAAGAGCCAGTTAATGGGGAGTTCATATAGAATAATAATTTTGATTAAAAATGTATAAATATGCTTAATTTACTTTTAAGAAATTCATGATGAGTATATTTTCTAGAATGTATAACTTAGTTAATTTAAAAAGATGTTTTTATTGTGAAAAGTAATTTTGGCTTCCAATACGTAATGCGTAACAATAATATTGCCCGTTTGAGTTCAGATTGCAGTTGGATACGGTGGAAGCAGCACAATTTTTTGACCGATCTGTACAGAGCCTTTCATTTTTTCTATAGGTGTACTTTTTTGAGTTCTTTAAGTAAACGTCATAAAAGAAGACTTGGTTTCAGTCGAGTGATTCAGATATTGGTTGCTAGACAAACTGCAAAGGTGGTACAACGAACTTTTGGGACGCAGAGTGCCACTACATATTTTATTGAATTTTTTCTTTAT